ACATTATCATTTCGCTCAGCCATAAAAATAACCACTTTTACAAAATGCAATATCACTTCATAGCCTAACCAATAGAATTTTGACCTCAGGCTGTAAAAGTTTTATTCCTCCCAATCTGGTCTTATCCTAGCGTTGTAGGAGAGACGAACGCACGTCTGGCAATTTGGTGGATCTGTCTGATAGGCGACTTGTACAATTAAAACTTAATTAACTCCCTTGCTATAAAGAAACAGTTGACACCAGAGGGCGTATGCCAGTGACCCATGATCCCTCAGGGCAAGGGAAAATGTGATCCCATTTTGAAAAACCGTAAGAGATAAGATGTACGGAAATGAAGATGTTATTTTTTCACTGTTTAAAGACCTTTACGCTCTCGTAACTGATCAAAATGCCCCGACAAATTACATTAGCTTCCATTTAAGAATATATGTTAATGTATAAATAACATAAACAAACAATGAATTGAAAATGGTGACTTAGTGCATATCAAGTATAATTTTGTTCATAATTTTACACAAAATACGATACATCTGGTATTTACGAAATTACGAATGAACAAAGCAGAACATATATGTATTAGAAAATGAATTTGTTTTATCATTATAATCATTACACGAACATTTGTATGTTAGGATAATCTTCAAAACCATAATTGATGGTATGTACGTTTAGCAATGGAGACACGCAGATGCTTCCGAACAATATAAAAATGTCACTGAAGCGATCTCTTCAAGGAAGGCATGAAATGTGAAAGGTATCATCTTTACGTTGCTATAGCTCTTAACACCAATTCTGACAATTTACAGGAGAATCTGTTGATAAACACCGAGACATATGGAACCACCAGGGGAACGACCGTTATCATTTGTCAACACATAATGATGTTATTATACTAAACTTTGAAAACACTGGGAATTCACTACCTAATCTTAACCCCATTCATACCGACTGTCATCGGCATTCCTGCCTACCAACGACCCCTCTTCGCCTCTTTTCCATGAAAACCATATGGTATGATTTGTATACACACTCGCGAAGAGAACCGTGTGTGAGCCTACAGAAAAGAATTCATCAACCGATGGTACAGAGGTATCTGTCCAAGAGACAAGGAACTGTGCGATATCAATCGTAGACTTCAGTCGCCTTTATGACGAACTGTGCGATTTCACTCATGGATTTCAGACGACCTTCCTCGACGAACTGTGAGATTTTACTCGTGGATTTCACGAAGACGCTACAGCGGTTTACAATACTACTTCCAATCTACCTTGGTTCATGAGGCACACAATACTACCAGAGACGATAGTATATGGTCTCTGATACTACGCACAGAGAAACAGAGCATTAAGAAAATATGATAGATCCGGATTTTTCAAAAAGAAATATCTGCTGGTAATAGAGAAAGCATCGATAATCATATGACGGATGATACCGAAAATGATATACAACCTTTGTCGATGAATAAAATATACTCCGTGTGGAACAGAAGAAGAGTACGCGATACTCTCTACACTAAATACTCGTATCATATGAGCAGTCAATGCTTCTAGAGAACAGGTCACATGCGACGAACGACCTAATTGTTAATTACGATACCAGTACGGCTAAGAACGATCCTCGCTACCTGCTTGAGATAGCGAACATTAAAGGGGATATCACTTGTTGCTCGTGTCTGGACGTATTGGAACAATATCCAGAAGTCTGGGATGTAAGGTGTCAGATTCTATTAAATGAAATTGATGTGGGAATGATTTAATTTCACTCTTACTATTTATTTGAAAAATTAGATTTTGGATTGGGAATGATATGGAGCGGTTGTCTAATTTAATATTAGTTTTTATCTTTACAATCGGTTTTATTCTTCGTATAGGTTTAATGAAGACTTTAGTTCATGTTATGTTAATTGATTACTGGAGGTATATTGTTTGTTTTGTTTGAATGTTCAGAAAGTAGGAAAGCTCTTTACACAACAGGGTTTTTAATATTTAATACTGCGCTTCCCAATGTCAATTAAAATCACTTGTTCATTTTGACTTATTCTTATATAAATCATTACCAATCCTCAGAAAATCAATAAGTATGGTTGTTCTCATAATCAAACTGTGAGATTGTTATCTCCCTACAAACACATTGAACATTCATTTACAATGTTTGTTCAATTTACAAGGTTTGTTAACATACTCAGTATTTTATCAACATACATAAATATTTCTATTCATCACAAACCTGCAAAAGTAACCCTAATCCTTTACATATTTTCAACGGTGTTCTTGAATATTAAACACTTGAACACAATGCTCGTCGGAATTCCCAAATGGATTCCTGTGTCGTCTTTTCTGTAGCTAAGATGTTTAGGATTTGTCTTTTATCGTGCCTTTTACCATGATAAGAATCAGGAAAACAAAGCCTCGCAGTTACCGAAACGTCAACAGATATTCTCTTCATTTTCGTATCGTCGGCGATTGTTTGTAATGCCCGAACGCTTTTATGAATTATTGGACTTTGTGTTGGCATCGGAACACCCGATGGCTCAATTTACAGAATGAAGTTTTACAAAAGGATTACCATTTTTATGATTAATATGTGCAAAAGTTTTACAATGAATACTTAAAGTATATCCCCTTACGAAACTAAATAATACTTTTGAATTCATTTATATAAGCATATATTTCATATATGGTACTTAAAGGTTTTCAAAATTAAAAGAATTGCAACGTAAGATCTATTAATTTAAGCTTAATCCCGATGAAACACTGGCTTAATTATATTTTTGTAGTTTCAGTTCATCATTATTATACGTGCATTTCTCACAACGTCATTTTTATGATCACAAGAAAGTAAAAAAATAATAAGGTTTTACCTTTTGGTTCAAGGAGTATTAAAATGGAATATTGGTTTTCCAAAAATTTACCTTTCTAACCTAAGCAGATATAGATACACATAATACTACCTTCATTCACTCGTTTCATACCTTCATTATATACATGTAGAGACATACATTTGCCTGCAAGATCGTTAATCGTACCGAAGGAACTTTTGTCCTTTCTTTTAAGAGAAAACCAGAGGAATTCAAGCAATCTCCGGGGATCCATTACAACAATATGACGAAAATGAATTTATAGAGGCTGAGTTTTAACCAAGAAATTGCCGCTTCAATTGCCGCTGATAGTGTAAAGTCGTTATTTTAACAAGCACGTTTTATGTGAATATTACACCATGCTCTGTTTGACATTTCTTTGCAATTTATTAATAGCTATCTATATTGGTTATAACCTGATAGGAAACACTTTCATAGACTATCATATTATATAGCAAGCTATCTATATTGGTTATAACCTGATAGGAAACACTTTCATAGACTATGATATTATATAGCAAGCTATCTATATTGGTTATAACCTGATAGGAAACACTTTCATAGACTGATATTATATAGCATAATGCTTTCGGGTAATGAATTTCAGTGTTTTTCATTTTACCTACTTTTGGTAATTGACAATCCTTTCTATCAATCCAGAGATCCAAAATCTAACTATAAATGTACACCATCAAGTGCCGTCACTGATATCCAGTGATCTATTCATATCTATTCATATCATTTTCCACTGTCCAAGTGGAATGATTATCAATTTCGGCGGATAATCGAGATTGGTTAATCTTTTGCATTATCTGTTTACGTAGGATCCGTTGACATAATTAATTAATAATAATATATTGGATATAAAACCGCTTACTTATTTTGTGCATGAATTTAAAACTCGTTAAACTTGATATTGTTATCTTACAACTTAATATTTAAATGTGCTAAGAGAACACGTGAAGTGCTGCCTATGCTAGATTAGCATTTGTTAACACATCCTTCATTTAAATGTATTCGTTTTAATCCTCATTAAATTTTTAAGACGGTGATGAAGTATGGAATTCTTGTCGATTTGATAATTAAAATATAATGTCACACCTGTGACGAAATATTTCCAATGAAGCACAGTAACTTATAAACTTCTGGAAGACAACTATCGGACATAATGACGGTTTGATCATACAGTTAACCTTGCTATATATGTTAAACCAACATCATGTAGGCTGTTGTTTAATGCCGCACTTCCAACAATATTCCAGCTATATGATGGTTGTCCGTAACTCATCACGGACCAAACAATCCAGTGAGTGTCATCATGGGCGTCTATAAACGAAACTAGGATACGATGACAGGCATCAACCAAGTCTTGACCGCCCGATCAAGTTAGTCGCATGTTACGATGTCATCGGTTGACAACACCAGATCTAACCAGGGTCTACACGGGATAACAGTGACGTTTGTCGAGTTGAACATGTCTTAAAATTTGAAATGAAATTATATGTATGTCCATATATATGATGAAAAATGAAAACTTCAGAAAATTTAATTAAAGTCAAGATAGACTTGGTGAACAATATTTAGCTATCTGGAATTTAGTAGGCGACTTTTCATTACTTCGGATGGGGCCAATATAGCCTGACCAGAGCTGTTGTATTTAAAGGTTTCTAACCGACGTTAAAGCAGTTCGAATAACGAAGTTCAATCATCCAGTACATTTGTGCATTATTGAGATTATAGTTGTGGTTGTACTTTTTAAATTGTTTTTTCAAATATATGATATTATTTTTGCATTGTTGTTTTAAAGTTGATGTTGTGTCATCTGTTACACAGTATGGATATATCAATACAGATGATTCCTCTTCAGAAGTGACATTTCATTCCGAGAACGAGTTAAACGTTAACACCAGTAAATTATTATCAATATAACTACAATCAGTTAATTTATGAATCTGAGGCCGACAAAAAAACTTAGCACTTGGTTTTGGTCGAATTATTCAAATATAATTCTATGTTTTGTTGTATATTTTACACAATATTTACATAAAAATATTTATTGTGACAAAATTATACCTTATCAAACGATATGTGTTGTATGGTACCAGTCCCCAATGCTCGCATATTTATGGTATATTAATCTTACCTGAACACCTCGTCTTGTCACTGGAATCTGTAGACCCGGGTGAAGAGCTGACACTTTGGGAGGGTGACGAAGAAAAGGGGGGACTGTAGGAGTTGGCCACTTCACAGTACGGTGACCCCCCGGGCATTAAACCTCGGGACCCCGACATACCCCCTATTCCCCCGGACACCTGCACCCCACCCTGGTAGAAGTAGTCCCCAGTGTCCCGACTTGATAACAAATTCGATGCAGCACTGCTCAATGGTCCGTTCATACCAAAATTTGAAGACGGGGACGAGAACCCCCACTCCGATGACTGGGAGGGGTAGGTGAATCCACCCCCAGAGAAATTCCCAGTCCCGTACATCGATGAGAATGCAGTTTGTCTAGGAAATGTCTGAGAGAGTCCATAAGACCCTGGGAAGTTATGAGAATAGTGGTGCAAAGCTGGTGCATTCATTCCATAGACTCGTTGCTCCATCGCTCTAGTATTTTGATTCAGCTTTCTGTCTCGGCCGATACCCCCTTAGGGAAATTATACACAAGTCGAGAATTTGCTTCCGAAGATCACAGTTCAGCCTCTCCTGGCACGAACAATCAGTTCACAGATACCTTGAAGAACCCCACAGGTACTGGTGCAGAGAGCTCATGTATGCATACCGGCAATGCAAAAATATGACATCGTTGCAGTTATAATCCTTCACCGTATTATTATGATTACATAATAATAACAATCAGCACTGCCAAGAAGCGCTCAAGTCAGTGTTAATGATGTGCACCCTTTGGCCGATGAATATAAACACTTTACGCCGCTTCTGAAAGTTCCTTCAGAAGGATCCGAAAGCCTGTCCTCAGAGACAATTGGTTGTCCAAATTATAAATCAAAAATCAAATTATGCGTATCCAAATTCACTGATATCCAACGATAGCACTGCTATATTGAACGTACATAAACAAATGTCTGTGTTGCCACATCAAAACATAAGTCGATAACAAGCCGCTCACAGACTAGCAGACGACACGTTGTAAACATCCATCCAAAAGGTAGATTAGCATTTACTGCCGCCAGTCTCACTGATGCGACACCTTGAGTGAAAAAGGGTCACAAATCAACCGCCATGCGCATGTGCAGAGCCGTACAGACCTGTCCGTCGTCGACAGTTGTCAGAAAGCGATTCTGCCAAATACCAATCACATGCGAAAGTTTGGAACCTCGGCTTATTTACTCGGCGGAGCGATACACTCGCGAAGGGGTGATAGGGTGTCGCTTAGCAGTAGCTGCCGTTCCATCGTGTGCACACTTCCGTTGACTGTTTACGACAGATTTCGATTGTTTTAAAAACAGTTTGTTTTATTATTTTGATATGTGCTGATCTGTTTATTGCTACTGAGGAATGTTAAATAAATACGAAAATCCGGACAAGCTCACCAGCAGAATCCTTGTATTTTTATAACACCCACGGACTTACATCGCTTCTCGGCATCCAGATCAGAGAAACGTCTTTGGTGTTCCGTGAGATTCATACGCATTCATAGCAAATAATATCAGACAAATGCCAAAGCCGGATATGTATAGGAAATATAGTGATAAAATATTCTAACCTATTTGGTTTACCTACCAATTAGTTTTACAGAGATGTGTGTGTCGGGAAAGAAAAGTTTTGGCGGATATTGATTTCGTACGTTTTTTTACGTATGTTCATAAACATACTCGCAAAGTACAAAAACACCATACACATTTAATCACTGGCATACTCAAACTAAATTGTACAGGGGTATGACGCATTGCATTTTGGGGTCTTGTGAAATATTTTGATTAATTTTGAAAAATCGTTCCATTGTTATCCAAGTTTTGCAAAATGAATTATGATTCTAAACGGTAATCTTGTTTTAGTTATAGATTAATTACGGAAGACAATGAACAAATTTTCCTTCAATGTTATGAGTCTGCCTTATCTTACACACTCTAATCTACTACTTTATAACTTTGTTGTGTTTGATACAAGAAATGACGTTAAAAGGTGAAAAAGTTTGATAAATGTCTTCAGTTCACATTTATTATCAGTAAAAAATCCGTTGAAATCCCAAAATGAACAAAATCAGTTTTTTTCAAAGATTTCAAAAGAACACATTATTTACATACAACGTTCAGCATCCTGTAAAAACAACCAAACTCCGCTGTTTTGCAATAACGAGAATATCATTTGTTTCATATTTCAACAGACAATTCCCGCTCACACTTTTCCATTTTATCTCTTGGACTCGTTTCCTCTCCTCCAGGCGTAATCTCAGCCGATTGGTGGTTTCAGGAGCGGTGTGTGCATTCTTGGGTTTACTCCCCGAATCTGGTTATACCATATCCACTCTCATCATCATTAGAGGAAACGTGAGCCTGGTAATGCTCTCCTAAACTCCAATGAGCTCTCTATCTCACGACACAATGCATAGCATACTAAGCCAAGGAGAGAACGGATAGCAAGCATGCTAGATTTACTTCAGATTATATTTTCTATGTCTCGTACCTAAGAAAACAAAATTACCACGAAAATAAATTTCCAATGCAGTTTGCAGTTGTGATGGTAATACAAAAAGAAATGTCTAAGTCCGTTTTTTTGGTTTTTAACAACTCTTTATGCATGTTATTTGAATTGATTTTATTAAAAGATTAAATTGACTATTTTTTAAAAATACATTCATGTTGCGATAAGTATCTTTCAACATGCTCTTTCATTATTATCACATGCACGGGAGCACGGGTCCAAAATATTCCACAAATGGAATCTATTTCTGCGAAAAATGAAGACATATTTACATATTAATATTTTGTTATGCAGTTGTCATTCATAAGCGAGACTTATGCAAATTATTAGTATTTAACACCATTAACACAACGCTAATGTGCATAGTAGTATACACAATGGGGCTACGGGACCAGGTCCCCCCAGGGGCTCAATTTACAAAAACTGAGTTGCATGCAAATTGTGATGAATATGGATGTGAATACACCTAGCATTGTTAGCAAACATATTTTTCCTAAAAATCTATCTTTTAATGCCTTAACCAGGTTCTGTTGGTTCATGAAAACACTCACGGGGGATGTTGATACACATCCATAATGAAATTCCATTTCCATCTTCATAGTCAGGTGAAAAACCGATCAAATCTGTTTTTGAAAAACAGAAGATTATAAGACAAATAAAACATTCATATTGGGATACGTTTATCACACTCTTCGTATTGAATTATATACATGAATTCTTTTAATTCATTTATGTCTTGAAAAGCTGTTTCTGTGAAATGGATAAACAACAAAGTATTGATGATGCGATTTTTATCTTATTATGAACAGTTCTTATATCAAACTGCTGCAACATATGTTGTATCTATGGAAACGCTTCTGTTGCAAATGTGTTGTATCAGTGTCCATATACATGAGGGGCGGTGGGGTAGCCTAGTGGTTAAAGCGTTGGCTCGTCACGCCGAAGACCCGGGTTCGATTCCCCACATGGGCACAATGTGTTAAGCCCATTTCTGGTGTCCCCCGCCGTGATATTGCTGGAATATTGCTAAAAGCGGCGTAAAACTAAACTCAGTCAGTCAGTCATATACATGAATACGATCGACAAATGTGTTGTATCTTTGACGTAAAATGTTGACTGCCCACCTCAATATTCATCGATCTAATACTATTTAAATATCGTTTTATAGCTATGTCCATTCAGCTATATAATGCGTCATATGGTACTACAGAAGATGTGTATTATTAACTACATTGACCAAGAATGAACATCAAAGACGTATGGTTTGAATCGTATCCGGCACTTGTTATGTCGAATGATCCGATATCATACTGCTACTGCAATCCAAATTTGGAACGTCACAATCACAGAAAATAACAGTCTAAACTATGTTCTCAAACTCAAACCAAAGGCAAAAGAGTGATGGAAATTATATGAAATCTCTTGTAACACCGGGTGTTCGAGTAAAGGGTGCTTTTGCCCCGAGGTAGTCGATAATATATGGTACATACGGTATTTGTATGATGATCGCTGTCCTTTTGCATGACTGTGCATTCATATTCATACTACGTACTGGTGCTCTTTTGATAATTGCACGTGAATCGAACAGAAGAATAGGTATTTATCAAAAGAACAATTAAATAACAGTACGGCAGATGTCAGACAGTTAAATTTCTTCAAATTTGCAACATGTGTGTGATTGAAAATAATATTTAAGTCTATACCGTGGAATACCAGCCTGATGATGCGGCTCTGGGTATGTGTTCAAAATATGACACCGATATGCACTAGGACATACATACATACATACATACATACATACATACATACATACATACATACATACATACATACATACATACATACATACATACATACATACATACATACATACATACATACATACATACATACATTTGTATGTACCCTTCACGAACACCTGGTGTCACCACTGATTTGCAATGTTCCACGCATATGATTTTCACAGCGGTTTTGCAATTTCCACCAAATTGAATCTCTTTCTGACTGTATGTTCTGCTATTCATTTTATGATTTATTGGTATTAAGTTTTATGTTTGACAACGCTTCTTTCATTCAAATGCATGGTGTCTTCATTGTCCTAAATTGACATCGTATGACTCATGATAGTGTATCATGTAAATGTGTTCAAGGAGGCTTTGAACAATATACCAGTTACACGAAGACGTGCCAGCCAAATGTGGAAAGAAAACTAAGCCTGACACTGGTCGTAGATCTGTAGCGGTTTATCGCTTCCTTCATACCCATGGGCAAAGGCGTCGGTGTGGACATTGGCTAGGGAATAGATGCTGGTCTGGACATTGAAATCGGCGTGGGTACTGTCATTGGTAGAAGCATTGACGCTTGCAAGGGGAATGGCATTCTCAATTGTACAGGTAGTGGACTTGCACTGGAACTGGCATGGGCATTGGTAAGTTGTGGCATTGGTACTGGCAGGTGTATTGGCTAGCATACTGGTATAGGGATTACCGGGTGTAGGAAAATTCCACACACAGACAACTCCCCACACAGACATTTCCCCACATGACAATTCCCCACATGACAATTCCCCATCACCTGAGTGACAATTCCCCATACCTTTGTTTTTTATGATTTGTGTTGTTCAGTTCTGGAGAAGTAGTTACAAGACAATTACTGTTGTTTTTCTAATCACTTTAAATTGAGGTGAGCTCTATTCTTAGCAACAAGAACCTTTGTGTTGCATATAGTGCTGGACAGAAATCCCTGGATCAGTTCCTGATATCCATTTCAAAGAACATTCGTCATGGCTGAATGTGCGAATGTAATCATTGTTATCACCTGTGTGTCT